CCAAATGCAGGCCAATCGACCACCAAAGGGCTCACCGCCTCCAATAGCAACATCAACGGCGAACAAGGCCTGGGCAGTCCGACTAGCAACAGCACACCACGGCAACATCAGAGGTCCGGGAAACAGAGGAGGGGCGGCGGTCGAACGCGACCACCGGCCGGCGCCGCACCGCCGCCGAGGAAGGCGACGAGAAACGATGAGGGAGGCGCTATGGTTTGGCTTTTTCTTTTTTCAGACGAGAGGGACGAGAGTTTTGGGATTTTTTGTGTGTGGTTGGTTTTTTTTGAGAACATCCTGAGTACATTGAAATGTATTTAGCAAAAATTCCCATTGTGGGAAGAGATGTTTCAAATAAATTAAAACATCTGAAAACCTCATGAACCAAAAGACCGTAAGAGAAGAAATTAAAAAAAAAAAAATTGTAATGCTTCTAAAAAGCAAAAACAAAAGAAAAAGTTTAACAGAAATTGTACGTTGTTTAAAAATTTCTGAAAAACCTACAGAATATGGTTGTAAATCATATAAAGGAAAATCCAAGAAGAAATATCTCAAAAAATATAAATACCAAAAAAAAACAAGAAAAAAAATCTTTTAAACCTGGTAAATATTTCAAGAATAAACAAAAGTTTCAACCGAAGAAAAATTTTTGCCCTGAAGGGAAAAAGAATTGTAGATGTTGGATTTGTAACATCGAAGATCATTATGCAAATAAATGTCCCAATAGAAAAAAACCTGAGAAAGTATAAGAGCATGTTTGTATACAAAAATTCTCACAAAATATTTCAACATTTTAATTCAACCATTTTTTAACTCAACTTTAACTCAACTCCACTATCATCAATATTATCAATATAATAAAATAATATCAACCAATCATTTATACACATCACATCAACCTTAATTCACTATTCATCCACTCACATTATTTTAACTAACAATCACATTAAATTTTAATTATTTTATTTTAAATATTATTTTTATTATCCACTAACAATTAACCATACTACATTTTTCAAAATTAACCAAACCAAACCAAAAAATCCAACAAAACCATTAATTTTCATATCCAAACATGCTATAAAATTTCTTCAAATATATGAATCATTTGGTCTCGAACTAATTGATTAAGACTATTCAGATATAGAAGAAGTGTATACATTGAAAAGAATAGAAGGTAAATCCTCTTTAGGAACATCTACTTCAGAAGACAATGATAAAGAGTGAGGCTAACCTCATCTGTATTACAAACCCAAATTCAATTTACATTAAAGGTAAATTGAAATTCGCATGAAACAAATGAAGATATATTGCTGTGTTGATACAGGTGCAAGCCTTTGTATATCTTCAAAACATATTATCCCTGAAGCACATTAGGAAAATGCTTCAAAATCATTACAAGTAAAAATTGTCGATGGAAGAAGAAATCTAAAACCAATAAACTAGATCCAGTTCAAATAACAACTGATAAAATCTCATTTCTTAAAGAGAGAGTGAAAAGGTTACTAGATATTAAAAAAGAAATGAACATGTTCGTTCTAAATCAACAAAAATTTTCTGTAATTGGAAAACTATGGAAAAAAGTATGTGAAGATAATAATGAGCTATACACCCAAAGACTGAGAAGAACTAAACCAACAAGTTCAAGAAAAGCTTGACATAAAAGTCATTATTCCAAGTAAGTCTCCTCATAGATCACCAACATTTTTGGTAGATAATAAAGGAACTTCAAAACGCAGAATTGTTATTGATTACCGAGAGCTAAACAAGAAAACAATAGGCGATGGTCATAATTTACCAAATAAAGATGAACTTCTATCTTTATTAAAAGAAAAAAACAATGTTTTAATCTTTTGATTGTAAATCAGGTTTTTGGCAAGTACTTTTAGATAAGGAATCTCAATTACTAAAAGCTTTTACATGCCAATTAGGACATTACCAGTTCGTGGTAGTACCCTTTGGCTTGAAACAATCTCCATCAACTTTTCAAAAGCATATGAATAATGCATTTAGAAAGTTTGAAAAATTATGTTGTGTGCATGTTGATGATATATTAATTTTTAGTAACACATAACAAGAACATTACATGCATGTTGATGATATATTAATTTTTAGTAACACATAACAAGAACATTACATGCATGTTGCAGTAGTTTTACAGGAATGTGACAAATTAGGAATAATCTTGTCAAAAA